CCGGCATCGTCAGTGAGTCTCGCCATTCGTAGCACCATGTTACAACTCGTCAAAGAGACAAGTGAAGCCCACCCTTTGACCAAACGTGTGTCAAACAGTAAGTAGACCTCATTTCATCAAAGGAAATCTTTTTCTTTGCTATTAGGACAACTTGGGGTTATTTTATCTCAAAATGGCCATATCATATAGGACTGATTATCGAACTTACTGTACTGCTAGTGGTCGTGATTGAATTGTGACAAAAGTGTCTGTTATGGGAATAGTATCGCGTCCATGCAATTTCGTCCGCTTTCGAGACAGAAAATGGGAGTGTTCATGAGGTGGGACAGGAGCAGGGCGATAAGGTAAGCACTGAAACTGTTTATATTTTGGTCGTTGTAACCATTTTCTGACCCCTTCCACCTGCTCGGGTTGTTGCAACATGGCTTTGTGCTGTGGCATTTTTGCTGGCGAGACTGACCTAACTACAAATATGGGGCACACTGCGACCCGTTAAGGTTGATGGACCCAGAGAACGGACGTAATAAACAAAATTGCTAAAAGCTCAGCGTTTTGCTGGTAGTTTCGAATGAATGTGCAGAATCGTAGCTTGATCTCACCAGAAGACGACGCCGAATCTTAATCCGATTGGATAGCCCTTCTCTGCGCATCCTTTGGCGTGGTGTCCTTTTGCTTACTCCATCCGTCATACGGTTTGTGGGTTGTTAAGCCGACATCTTCACACAATCAAACAGTCACACTCCTCCCTCAGCTTCCGGAGAGGCCAATCTACGAATGCCATCCACCCGCGGTTTCGAACAAAAAGAATCTCATTACGACATGAATTTATCAAGAGCCTCTTCGAAGCCCAACTTCTTCCTACCTATAAAATGGACGTATCGCTGTATTATCCCTTCTAACTGGATCGATTACGGAACACTTAAGAGAGGGGCTGATAAAGTAGGTTAAAGCGTGTATCCATGCCTTGTTGGCCTACGCTCAAGCAACCAGCAAACCAGATATGGAGCGAAATGGTTGAGTTAAGGCTTCGCTGGAATATGTAATTATTGCCATGACCGGCTGGGAGAAAGGATGGAGAGTATTCAAGACGTCACCTTTGCAAAATGCTTTGACTTGTGTCGTGGGTAATTTCTGATTTGGAGTTCTCGGAAAATCCGATTCGTTGGGCGCCGATGCTCCTACATGTTTAGTGTTAATAAGCTGGTCGTGTAGCCAGGGCCACCTCAAAGATGCTAATTTGTCAGGCATCTTTTGCTGTAGATGTCCTGATAATTTCCTGCACCGGACAAGGCACTTAGTCCGTCTGGGAATGTACCAAGTCCACCTACCGACGCGGGAAATTAGCACGAATAGTATGCCAAAGGACAACAGGCAAGTTTGATTCTTTGAGGTCTCTCTGTTGGCATGACAAAGTTGCGAAAACGAGGTAAAACCAATTCTTTAAACCAAAAGGGGACCGCGACAAAAATACAGCCTACACCCTCTTTGATAAATTAGGATTTGGCTATTTGGGCCCCTCGGCCTTTTAAAAGAAAGATGGCCTCTGCTCCAAAGTGTGCCGAGTCATTACGCTGGCCAGCGTTGGACCTTGGATCATCAGGGACTAGAGTCCCTTTGCTCAGTCAATCGGACAGCCAAGCTAATGCAAGGTCGTATTGGACAGCTTTTTCTAGAAGACTATTTACCAGCTCTGCATCGACTCGCCGAATCTTCATCTGTATTCGTAATGGCTTCTGTATGTCGCAACAAACACTAATGTCTTGCCTGAGAATGCAGCTGGATTCTCCATGGCTTCCATGGCCCGCGAGTTCGTGCCCTTGTAGCTCCTTTCAGCGTGAAGGTGCCAGAAACTAACGGTCATTATTTTTTGTCACCCATGGGTCTATTCCAAGTTTGTGTGATATTTGAGTTTTGCTTAAAAAGGCCGACAAGCTCTAATCAGACCCAGTTCTCAGAAGTATTTCATGGACTCAAAGGCATGGTCACTCATGTCAGGCATGTTATAATGCTGTTTCTCTTATATTGGCCCCGGTGTACTAGTTCAATGTCATTTGGGGCAGATAAACAACTTTACGATAGTCAGGTTATATTCTGCCTACTCAGCATGAGCTCACGACTAGATTTTTTCACAAGTCGTCAACGCTAGGGCTAAAATGCAGGAGCTTCAGGATTATAAAGTCATGGCAACTGACTCGATGTTGTATGCTCGCCCGAGCTTTTTAACCCCTGAACCGGAACAGAATTTTGTGTCTGGTTCATTTTAGACTTGCAAAAGGGCCTAGTATTTAGTGCTAAATTCACTCTGGCATTCGACGATTTGAGGAGATCGGGGTTTATAGTACGCAATGATTTGCTTACTTTCTTTTTAACTCACTGCAGAGTATAGTGACTTGAAAAAACTTTTTAAAAACAATTTGAAACAAATGGCTTTAAGGAACATAATACCATGGCTACTTCTGCTGATCGTAGGGTGACTAATTTATTCTCACGTCATAACGAGATTTATTGCCAGCTCTGTCGAACGACCACTTTCATCCGATGGTCCATTGCATCATTCAGATATTGCACATCAAAAGTGTGGAGAATATCGCTTTTCGTTTTGCCTCCATTACATCCTAAAAGGTGACCGACCTGGAGGCACTTGCAATCTTCTTCGGGCACAATATTTTCATTTCACACCTTCACACTTTGTCAAAGGGGCGAGGCTTTGTTATAACCTGGACATCAAACTACTCTG